AAAGATCATAATGATCATTTAATAATGATATCCCATATAAATAAAAACAAGGGACACTTGATGATGGCAACAGGCCGAAACGTTGTGTCTATAATAACGTCTATAACAACGAAGATGAGAACAGTTCAAAATAATTGATTTATTGTGACAATAGTAATATTATCATGAATATTTGTGAGATGAAACAATGTTAACCGTCATTATTATTATTATTATTATTATTATTATTATGATACTGGTAATACAAGTAAAAATTTTACAGCTTTTCTATTTGAACTTTTTTTTTTTCTTTCTTTTTCTCACTGAAATCAGTCTTTGATATGTATTTTCCGTCTTTCCACGAGATCAAAACGGAACAGTCCATCATTTATGGTGTATTGGCAGGGACGCAACGTATGTGCATGCTAAGCAACTGTAGTAGCATACCTACGAACGATAATAGGTATGTCCCAATTTACATAAATACAGTAGTATATACTGTATGTTGATCTGTAGTTGGAGATTCGTCTCCAGCTGTGCTGGTCAAACTCTCTGCCTCCGGGCAGAGAGGATCTCCTATGAGGCTATATCGAAGGGCAGAGTCTCGTCTCGGGAAACAACTACCAACTGGGTTTTATACGGGGTCTACGGGGAATTTTAGCCCGAGCCTACGGGATCGGATACCCCACATTATATTCGGCCTTGTGCCACATCTGACCGCGTGGGGCGGTTGGCAGATATCCTGTAGATGGAGATTCATTGTGAAATTCACTTGACTTACTTCTAGCAGTTGACTACTTATTCTACGCGCTGCTGGCGAATCTTATATGTGTTGTTCTTGTCCTAAGTATTATCGTTCATTACGAACCTTCGTTTAATTATTCTATTTAGTAACCTTCCCTAGGTTACAACAGTAACTAACGTAGGAATAAGCAGAGATAAAAAAAACTTTCATACTGTGATTGAAGAAATACTGAAGATAAATTAATGATAAGCTTTTTTTTAATTCTTATTTACTTTTCTAACATTAGAAGTTTACACTTGTTGAATAACCTACCTTGGCAAAAACGGATTTCATTATCTCCGGAGGTAATGTCGTTTGTTGGTTTTTGTATGTTTCCACCAACGTCATGATATAACTGAACAAAGATTCCAGATCTGTGTTGTTGATTCTAGCATCGTTGAGTTGCGAAATAATTTGGCCGATGTTAGCTGCCTGGTTCAAAGATGGAGTCACAGACAAACTCTTCTCGATAATAGAAAGCGCCTATAGAAGATTCAAAAGAAAGCGAAACGAAGAATGCTTCATTTATTTATAGAGATACTTGCTTGAATTTCCATAGGAAATCATAGATATTTAAGAACACATCTAATGATATTTTATAGGGATTTTTAAAATAGTAAAATGTGAGAATAGCTTTGTGGATTAAGCGTTGGTCCGTGAATTCGGTAAAATAGTCATTGTGAGTTCAATCCCTGGGCCGGAAAACAAGCGAGCAATAACTGAGCAGTACTAAAAATAATATCTAGACGCAATATCTCTAGACATGGGCAGTGGAATGAGAACAGATTACACCCGTAGATTAAATAAAGGGTTCAGTTCAGAGTTACCTGTAGATTAACCAAATCGATATACAGGTCGGAAAGTACAACGATCGAAACGTGATAACAACAACAAAGATGAGGACAACAGCTCGAATGTAAATAGAGTAAATAATTCTTAATGTGTTACGGTTATGAAATATCGATTAATATTATTAATGAATTAATGGGTGTATGCCAAGTGACAATAAAGCCGGACGATTTCACTTTGCTTGTGTGTATTAACAATCATGGTTGAAGAAGTCAGTTCTGATCCTCTTTTGGCAGGGACAAGCTGTCCGTCTTGTAGTTACGATGCCGCATGTTCGTTTTGACAGCCACGCGTCGTGATGAAGAGGCACAGAAAGCTGTAGTAGGAATTGTCGAGTTTAACTGTTAACCCGACGTATCTAACGATATTCCAAGTGTTATCTACTTACCCACCCAGACTGATGAAGTGAAGCCCTGAACGAAACACCTACATATACTGGAAACGGGGTTAGAGTTTTTTTTTTTTTTAAATTTTACGTCTCGGCATTTATGTTCGCCTTTCTTTTCATTGTTTACATACAACGGGACTTTCCCGGTTTTAGGTACCAAAACAAACCCAGACGATAATGGAGACGCAACGAGGGGTAACCATTAGTCTATCGGCGGAAAGCTAGGTGAGGGCCCCATTTACACGCGCAAGAACCCAAACAGGTCAGCAAAGAGAATTTTAGAGCCAAACTTCAAGAGCTGTCTCCTTTTTCGTTTGTAGAGAGAAGATAGCTGAGTATGAAATTCGTTGGAATTTCACATCGAGACACAATCACGATAAAGAACGGAAATTAAAAATATAGAATTCTTCTACTCAAGTGAATTTTGTAATGGTGGATATTTTAAAATGTTTATTTACCTTTGCAGTAATTTCGTCCGTGACTTGGACAGGAGTGACCATTCTCTTTCGGCGTCGTTTTGAAATATTAATGTTGATCACATTGACAAGGGTTAAAATAGCTTTATGATAATCCTCTATAAGATAAGGTAGAATCGGGTTAGCATCGGTTAGGAATTAAGACAACTATTTCTGATAGACAATTGTCTTCATCCTTATTGCCATATTCACAACGACGTTTCGGCTGTTGTACGCTACGACCTTCTTCAGGTGATATATGTTGGAGTTTCAACTAGCGCTTTTATCAATTGGGCCAGTGGATAAAAGCGTTGGTTGAGTGATCGAAAACGTGACTTGACCCAAAGAGTTGTGACTTCAGTACTTGATCACAGCAGAGGGGGCAAAAACTTGGAGAGTTGAGTTACTAAAAGAATTTAACTCAAACTGAGATATCTAAGAAAAAAAAAGGCATGGCACGTGGAATTAGATCGATATACCCCAGTGGACTAAATAAAGGGTTCGATTTGTAATTCCAACTTATATATGCTGAAGAAGACCGGAGCGTACAACGACTGAAACGTTGTGAATATGGCAATGAAGATGAAGAAAACGGTCCGGATGATATAAATAGTGTAGTTACAATACATCATCACAGAAATATTGGTAAATCCTGAAGAAGGCCGGGGTTTACAACGGTCGAAACGTCATGAATATGGCAATAAAAATGAGGATAACAGCCGGAACGTTGTAAATAGTGTAAATAGTTACAATACATAATCTCATATAGAAAAAATAGGGTTCTTATATTGATTGACTGACTTCAGGATTAGGGGTAACCTGATTCGGATACCACTCCAAATCCGTGGATACACGTTGGAGTAATGTATAGCGGCTCGGATTAAGGAATTGGAGAGCCGAGTTCGAATTTCAGTCGTGTTCGTGATATTTATTTACGTAAAAGGTATGAATCCATGTTTTATTCCACCTCAGTTATGGGTAAATAGCAGGACAGACTTGGTCCTATAACCAGTTTAAAAGGACAACTTTGAATTTAAAACTGCCAACTATGGGTTAAATAACCTCACTAACCCGTAATTGGCCAAGCGTGATGAGTACGGCTGAAGACATGATCAATCAGTAGTCGGGGTTACTCCAAGGCCCTGAATGAGCTTTCACCCACCATATATATATATATATATATATATATATATATATATTGAAGAAAAATATACGGAAAAAACAAACAAAAATCCTTATATGCAATTATGCTGTATTAATGTTAATATGTCAACGTCGGACGTTTCGGTCTAATAAAACATCTTCAGGACATATTCATAAAATATAACATGACAAAGACGATGTACATAAGAACAAGACTTATCCAAACAAATAACTGAAAGTTTTATAAAATCAGCGCTCTTTTAAATGTTTAAATCATATATAAATGTTTAAATAAAATTTCTATGATTTATATATATATACCCTTTGTAATAAATCGGTAAATATATATCAGGGTAAATGACGATTCCGTATAGGATACAGGTTCGAATCCGGTCGGAAACGAATATTTTTGTTAAAATTTCTCGGACATTCATTTATGATAAATTTTGTTTTAATACTGTTTATTATAAACAGAACATTTGCTTAAATATTTGTATCTATAAAAAGAATGTATAAACATAAAATGTTTTAATATATATATATATTATGCAGGGAGTTCGTTTATATATTCAACAGTATATTTATTTTACATTTACCTAACGATCTGAAAGTTCGAGAAATCTTATTAAAGAAAAAATTGCGCTGTCCAGCAGGAATCGAACCCACGTCACTGAGGGCAGATGGTATCACTGTTTAGCCAATAAGCCTTACCGACTTAGCCACGAAGAGCCGAAATGCACGCCCAGATAACGCTCTATTGTATCCTGTCTACTGAATCAGTCAATCAAGTTTCAAATAAACGGGGTGGTCGAAATAAAAGCAGCAACTGAAAAATTTTAATACAATTTTTTTTCTTAGTTTTTACTAATGAAATACTTTATCCTAGAATGCTCATAGTCTAAATTAAATGGTGGAAGGACATTTCTTGGACATTTAATAAAAGAGGGGACTTTCGTGGATATTTTTCTCCACAAAGAATCGTTGTGGCTCCTCCATTTGAAACCGAGAGAGACATAAATCTTTTCATGAAATCGGACAGATCTGCTATAGAAGTCCTGAAAATGCTCGGTCAGTCATTTGGAGAACATTATGAGTGTTATGTGCGTTTCAAGGACGGTCGAGTGTTGGTTAAAGATGCGCGTTCACAGAAAGTAGTACCGACTTAACGTCTATCTTTTACTGGTACTCAACCTTTATACAAACAACTGATATGTCTGTGATAGATGGGATCATCACCATACATCACTCTTTCCCCCAAACACTCCGACACCATAACATACCTGCCACCATACTTAATTGTTGGAACCACATATTCATCATTCAGTCTTTCTCCTGATTTTCTTCTCACATACAATCTCCTCTTACTAACAAAAAGTTCAAATTTGGACTGACGAATCAAAATTGGAACTTTTTGAAAGTAAGAGCAACCTTTAGAAAGAAGGAAAAATAAAAGCAAACACACTGTAGTTACTGAAATTTTATCCTTCATTTAAAAAAATATACAAAAATATCTTATTTTAAGGTGTTTCTTTTTAACTAGATTTTTTTAAAGGTGTTATGATGTTGATTTGGGTTTAGTAGAGACAAACGCCAAATAACACGTAACAATAAAAAGGGTTTTAATAGGTTGGTAAAAAAAAACAGAAATCGCCTGAGTAATATATAACTAGCTCAGCTAAGAACTTCTCTGTCTATCTGTCTTAGTATTTATCGATCCACCCACGAGGACCGAATATGATATAAGGCCGGTTTAATGTTTTATTCCAGCCCGTAGGCTCGGCCAAAAATATATATTTGAACCCGCCTAGAACGGGGTCAGGCCCTGTCTACCTCCCCCGGACGAAACCTTGTCCTTCGGCAAAGCTTCATCAATTTCCTCTCTGCTAACGCATAAAGTTCGACGAACGTCGCTTAAGTCAAAGACTGTATCATAAAAACAGAGACTCGGAGGTCTTACCCTCTTGTCTATCTGTCTTCCCCCCATTTCAACTGACATGCCACTATTTAAAGTCTTTGTTCACAGACGCAGACAAGTTCATCTTCAAGAAGGTGGTAGGTTTCCGACACAACAAAAGGCGAAAAAAAACATTTGAAAAAATTATGTTCTTTTTTTTTTTTTTTTGTCAGCGCAAAATAAAAAATGCAAAACATAAAAATTAAAAATTTGGTTCCCAAAACAAAAAAAAAAAAAAATGATGAAAATTAATTTCATGTCTTACTCGTTTTGAGATATTCATCGAAAAAAAATAATTTTTTTTTTTTAAAGTTCTTCAGTTCCAAAATTTTTCACAGATGAACTTTTATATTCAAACACAAATGAAGATAACTGTTGCAAACCTTAAATAAAAAAAAGAAAATTTAATGAAGAATGAAAATAAAAACTATTTAAAATCTGATTTTTCTAAAAAAATACAAGACATAGTTGAAAAAGAAAAAGAAAGATTTTCAAATTCCAAATTGATTGACAAAAGATTTTTATTCGAGATACAGAGAAAAGATGGAAAGAGATTTAATCAGATGGAAAGATAAAAGAAATAAAAATTGAAGATTAAAAAACTTCATCGAAACGAAAAATTACGTGAGAAAAATACCTTTTTTTTTGTTTCAAGGCTAAAAAATTTTTTTTTAGAAATGAAAAAAATTTCTGAAAATCTTATTTCTGTTTTTAAATAAAAATTTAAGAAAAAATTTCTTTATAAAAATTAGAAAATATTTGGTTTTAATTTTTTAAAAAAAATTAATAGAAAAAAAAAAAACTTTTAAAAAATAAAAAATAAAAATAAAAGAAAAAAAAAATTTAAATCAAAAATGAAAAAAAAAATTTTTTGATAAAAAAGGAAAAAAAAAGGAAATGAAATTTTTTAAAAAGAAAGAAGGAAAAGGTTTAAAAAAGAAAAATCATTTAAGAAAAAAGGATCAACAAATTGAAGAAAAAAAAATAAGAAAAGGAATTAAGTAAGGAAAAAAAGAAAAAGAAAAGAAAATTACAAGTTTTAAAAAAAAAAGAAAAAAAAAAAAAAAGAAAATTTAAAATGAAATAAAAAAATAAATTTAAGAATGAAAAAAAAAACGAAAGGAAAGATTTAAAGAAAAAAAAAAAGAAAAAAAAAAATAAAAGAAAAAAAAAAAAAAAAAGAAAAAAGAAAAAAAAAAAAGAAAAGGAAAAAAAAAAGAATAAAGAAAAAAGAAGGAAAGAAAAAAAAAAAGTTAGAAATGTAGTCAAAGAAAATTGAAGGAAAAAAGAATCATTTTTAAAAAAGGAAAAAAAAAAATAAATCTAAAAGAATTTAAAAAAGGAAAAAAATTTTTAATTATTTTAAAAAAGAAAAAGAAAAAAAAAGAACAAAAAAAAAGAAAAGAAATAAAAAGAAAAAATTAAAAAGAAAAAAAAAAAGAACCAAAAAATTAAATTTTTTCAATTATTCTAAAAAAAGAAAAGAAAAAGGAATTTCAAAGAAATTAAATAAAGAAAGAAGGAAAGAAAGAAAGAAAATTTAAGAAGAAAGAAAAAAAAGGAAAGAAAATAAAAAAAAAAAAAAAATAAAAAAAAAAAAATAAAAAAAAAAGAAAAGAAAAAAAAAAAATAAAATTTTTTTCAAAGAAAAAAGAAGGAAAAATGGAAAAGAAAAAATAATTTTTTTTAAAAGAAAGAAAAAGGGTAAAAAGAAAAAAGAAAATTAAAAGGAAGAAATAAAAAATTTTAAAAAAAGAAAGAAAAAAAAAAATAAAAAAAAGATGATTTTCTTTTAGAAAAAAAAAAAAAAGAAAAGAAAAAAGAAAGAAAAACGAAAAAAAAATAGAAAGAAAAAAAGAAAAAAAAAACAGAAAAAAAAAAAAAAAAGAAAAAAATTAAGAAGGAAAGAAAAAAAAAATTTAAAAAAAAAAAAAAAAAAAAAAAAGAA